ACGAATCAAGGTTTTCTGCTGGATCTATTCGTCCATAGGGTTCACAAAAATGGGAGGTATTTACATTGTACATGTAATGTGTTTAACACGATGGTGGATGCAGTTGCTTGATACCACCAAAAAGCAATCAGATTGACCCGGCAGCTGGTTCAACCTCATGTTTGAATCCATTTTGGATCCTTGAAACCACCAAGCAGTCGATATCTCTGGGGAAACTATCATATTTATATAATTCATATTTCACTAACTCGCGAAAATTTCGGCCATTTGGGGATGATTCCCTGAATCCAATGCCCATGATTGATGGGTTTGATCACGACGTGAGGTCATTATAATTTACCCAAATATCAGTAGCTATGGAAACTGGAACATGGTCCAAATATGGATGGTTTACCTATTATTTGATTCGACTTGCCTATATGTACCTATGAAAAATGGTGATTTTTCAGCTCGCTAAGCACAATAACCAGAGGGGTTACCGAGGGGCCCGACATAGCATTGTAGATGGCACCCAAGTCGTAGCCATAGGGGTTCGCCATGCTGTACTCGAAGAAACCCGCCCTGCTGCGCTTAAAATGCAACCCTTCAAGGGGAAAAACATATGTGCAGAATGTAGAAGAAACCAAGAAAAATACGGATATAATTTAAATATGGATATAATATGATATGATGATACAAGAGGATTGCCTTTTTTCGTGGCCGTGGCCGGGCCGGGCCATATATGATGTTTGGATTTAAATTTGGGGCTTGGATGGGTATGGGGTCCTCCGGGCGTATTCAGTGGAGGATCTCTCGGTCTCGCTTTCGCTCCCCCATGGGGTTGCTGATTTTACGGTGGTTCCTGTATGTTGGCCGTTTTTTTAGGTGATGATCCATCTGATTTTCTGGGAGTTTCTTAGAAACTGGCAATTTCAGTTGGCCAAAGGGGAGGAATTTTCAAAGAAACTCCTCATGATTTATGACTGGTTGGTTTCCCACATGTCATAATTAGATATAATTAGCCAATGGGGATTTATTGATTGACACAGGAACATATATGACACATATTTCATATTTCATACATATGGCCCATATGGCTGTGGAAACAATCTTGGTAATTGGCACCAAAATGCACATTTTTTTCTTCGGATATTCATCTAGCACCACGTACGCAATTCAACCCAGCGTCAAAAACTGCTCTCAGAAAAACCGAGTGCTGCCGAAAAAGCCGCCCTCTTTCTGAGACACCGGACGGATATCCCATGGCAGCCCTGGCAGAAGAAGGGGACCAGTTCGGACAGGGCAAGACCCTCTCCCAGCCCCCAAAACAACAGCGTGTGGCAAACATATTTTGTTGAGTGTGGCAAATGATCGTTCAAATATACTAAAAAATGGAGATACTGGAGATATCAGATATCATACACGAGTTTTTGAGTGGTATGACTATAATATAATCACTGCAAAAACAATCATCATCATAATAACAAACTAGACACACTGATGATTATAATGTTTCCACAAATGCATATATACACAACAATAATAGTAGTAATAATAGTAATAACCATAAAATCAATCATAACCCCAATAGTGGTATTAACAATGAAGATAAAAATTGCAATGACCATAAAAACAAAAACAACATGTTATTAATAATGGATACAAAAATCATACATATATAAAAAAAATAAAAACATATATATATATAATTAAATCAAAATATATGTGTGCATCCATGCATGCATGCATCTATCTATCTATCTATCTATCTACCTATCTATCTATCTAATCCATGTAATCGATCGATCGATCTATCTATCTATCTGTCTGTCTATCTATCTGTCTACCTGTCTATCTATTTATCTTTCTACCTATTTATGTATCTATGTATATATGTATCTATGTACCTATGTAGGTATATGTAGGTATATGCAGGCATATTTATGTATATGTTTGCATATGTTTGTATATGTTTGTATCTGTTTGTATGTCTATACGTACATGTATATGCATATGCATATGTATATGTATATGTATGTGTATATGTATGTGTATATGTATATGTATATGTATATGTATATGCATATGTATGTATATATGCATGTATGTTCATTCTAGCTAAGTTCCTTGGAACTGGACATTTTTTCGTCTGCTGAGGTGATGACATGGGGTCTGCACCTCAGGGCGGAGACATGCTCAACGGGTCACAGTGAAACGCGACTGGACCCGTGTGGCCCAAACGGGAAATCTGGGTCAAAAAAAGTGAAACCATGGATGAAACATGAAAAAAAACATGAAAAACATGATGAAACATGATGAAACCATCTATAGTATCTAGTTTCCACCATCAACCACAGCCAATTCGGGGTTTCAAGGGCTCTCGTGTCAAACGAAGCGCCCCGCGGCACTTCATGAGATGATGGCTTCGCCCCAGCTGTGGCGGCCCATGAGTCAATCTTAGATACCCTGATAGGAATACGTCATTTTTTTAATATTATCATGTGTTGCTGTCATGAGATCATGAGTTATTCATTATCTGTTGACTAAATGTATATAGCTATAGCACCAAGCTCTTAGAAGTAAAGTAAAGGACCATAAGGTAGCCATGGAAGGTTGGCCCAAAAGTTTGGTCATCTGCGCTCCAGGCCATACCAATAGGGAGCAGGCTGCATCATTGGCGCCTGCAAGCGGAGGTAACCTAAATATTATGAATCTTATGGGTTGGTATAATATGATAAAATTGTTTATATTTCTTTATATTTCTTGATATTTTATATCATATATTCCCGCCATGTTTGTTCTTGTAGTCAAATCCCTAACCATGTCACCCCCCAAAAGCTGATACTTACCGTGTGTATATATATATATACATACACCTGTGTGTGTATTTACGCCTTGATCCATATCCACATTCCAATTGAATATCGGCACTGGAAGTCCACAACCAATTTCACTGCTCGCAATTTTCGACGGTCTATTTTTAGGTGTCCATTCATCCACAATGGACATGTTTTCTCGTTCCAATACCGAAAATCCTGATGGTCAATCAATCTAGTGAGCAGTTGCTTCAATAGGATTCATTCTTCTGGGGGTTGCCTGTTGGCTTTTCGGGAGGTGTTGAACAATGATCGGGGCCAGTACTCATTTGTGCTTGATCAAAGGCGGCCGTCTTTGAATTTTGGATGGAACCCGCAAAGGGGTCATTTCCAACAAACCCAGTGTTGGAGAATTTGGTTGGATTCTGTATCCAAGAATCGTGGAAGGACATGGTAACTGGATGCAACTGGGGTATCCCCCAGTTCCACCCCCTTGTCTCACAATTTGGTAATGCTATCGGCCACCCCACAAGCCCAAGCAAAGAAAGAGCGAGTAAGTAACCTCAGGAAACCAGAAACTAGAGATTCAGCCAACCCTGGCCAACTCTAGGAAAGGTAAACTTAAAATATTTAAAATTTGCCTCCAAAAAACACCATTCACTGATCTCGTTTTAGGGTCTAGATCCGTGGGGTTTACATCAGCTATCTTTTTTAGCCAAAGAAAAAAGTCTGAAAGCAGCCTCAACTGAGACATTTTGAACACTGTCCAAGGTCAACAATGCCATATCGTGCTTCCAAAAATTGTTCAGAATTGCTCGACATGACCCAAACTTGCCCGACTAAAATGCTCAAAATTGCCCGAAATGACCCAAGCTGGCCCGAAAAAATTGCGCAAAACTGCTCAAAATTGCTCAAAGTAGATCAAACTTGCTCAGAGTTCCTCAAAATTGCTCAAATTTGCTCAAAATTGTTCAAAATTGCTCGAAATGTCCCAAAATGTCTCACAATGGGCCAACAAGTGTCTAAAGGGATGACGTGCTTGCATATACAGGTGCGAAAGTTGTCATTACTTGGCATTGCTGTTGCCGGTGTCTATTGTTGCATGGGCTTAAGGTCAGTGTCAATTGAGCCGAGGTCATGCCTGCTGCTACGTTCAGAACCCTCAATCGTCAGTTTCAAATGACAGGGGTCACTTGTCATTAGATTGGTTGCCATTGTTTCGATCAACGGCTCATCCTGAAAAAATTGCATTGCTTTGATAGGAAAATTCCGTTCATGCCTGCAATTTCTTTTGCTTCATTACTGCTTCCTGGTGATACCACAATCAGACATGAACTTCTGGGCTTTTTGAGGATTTTTTGAGATTTGAAGGATAGCGGATCTAAACCTAAGGATCTACACCGCGAATGCGAACAGTGAATCAAAAAACTAAACACTAGTGTGGGATCATGCTGCAGCGACCTGGGCCCTGAATCCCAGGTTACTCACCACGCCCCATGACTGAGACTTTCCACGCGTGCTGTGCAGCGAGTCTAAGATCGCCGAGTCTGGAAACCCATCAGAAGCTCGAGTCTATGCAGGGTGGGCAGCTTTTTGTTGCTACCGGTCCAACTGCTCATGGCTCAGAAACTAGCAAGACAATCTACCATACATTTTCTATCGTTGTCCCATTGTCTATGCCAAAGTGGTAGGTCTTGGTCATTCTTCGCACTTGATCTGTTTTGATCTGCAAAGGATTCTTGGATCGAACTTCAGCACATAGAAACTCACATGCTCTCGTTGCAATGGTACTGCGGGATTTCTGAACCACTCCGGTGTTGACTGACTTTGTGCCACCATTGGTTTTGCTCTACACGTTTGTGGTCAGGAGTCCCCAACTGATCGGATCCGGAGCTGGCTATCGGTCAAAGCAAAACAACATGTGTATGGTATGATGTGGTAAACAGTGGTATGAACCCGAAATTGGAGCTTCATGATCGGGCTTACGACAATTGATAATTTAGCGACGTAGACAATTTGAAACATTGAACCTCCGAAGAATATACGCAATTGAGGAATAACTGAATAGTTTGAAAGAAGTGGCCCGCTATGACACCATGATGCAGAGTGGATGGCTCTTGTTCTGAACCGAGGCTAACCTTTAAAAAAAAAGGTCACATCTCCTGTTGGGTAAGGATGATCCAATGGGAATGTCGTGTTGCGTTGCCCATCCGTTAGCAAAGCCAGCTGGATCAGCCGGGAGCCCCGGGTCAAGCCTTAGCCTTGACATATTTGTTCATCTCATTTTTGTTTTCATTCCGCTGGTTGATTCGGTTGTTGATGATCTTCTCCCTGCGTGCCAGCCTTTCCTTCCTCGGAGCTGCGCATTCAACTTGCATGTCCGCTGAAATTATAACTATGTAGCTCAGTGATTTTATCACGCATATATAAAAATAAAATAATATATATATAATATACATACGTAAATACACATATGGGATCATATGGTGGAGCATGGTGGAGCAAATACCAACCAAAAATGAATTAGTACAACCAGTTACTAGGTGGCATGCAGATCCAAGTCCTCATATCAATCTATCTATACAGAACAAAGGATATCACAGGAATCCAGGTAGATGAAATACAATTTGATGCCCGGAGGCTTAAGCATCGCATTTTCCATCATCAAAAAAACGCGTCGGACGTGTGGATCAATGAGCATTGTTGAAGGCAAATTGATCAAGACGCGAGGAACCCCCAGCACTGCAAAATTGTTCCTTTAAATGGAACCCTGAAAAACAACCCAGGGGAGCCACCGCTACAATGATAAAACATGACAACATACAAAAACAATCAATAACATGTGATAGCTATAGAAAAAAAAGGAATCAATTCACTTTTTACCCGTTTGCACATCCCAGTTTCTTGAGTTTCTTCATTTTCTCACCCTTCTGCAATACCTTCTCCTTGGAAGATTTCTGCACAGGCTGTGGGTTTCCCGACCCGGACGATTTGGTTGACGCATCCGGGCCGTTGATGATCTTCTCCCTGCGTGCCAACTTTTCCTTCCTCGGAACTGCGCATCTAACTTGCACTTCCGGTGAAATTATAGCTATGTAGCCCAATGATTTGTCATGCACAATTTATATGCGGCTGTCAAAGCTCCTTGCTCATGAAATGGCCATCAACATAATCTGGAAAGGTCACATCGCTAACCACAGCTTCGTAGCAATTTTACCATCATTGTGCAATATAGGTTTACAGGGGGTAGCGCTAAGGCTAAATGCAGCTAAAGTAGAAATGATATTGCGCTTGTAGAAGTAACAGTAGCAGTAGTAGAAGTAGTAGTAGTAGCAGTAGTTAGCGATAGCAGCAGTAGTAGCCGTAGTAGCAGTAGTAGCAGTAGTAGCAGTAATAGCAGTAGTAGCAGTAGTGGCAGTAGTAGCAGTGGCAGTAGCAATGGCAGTAGTAGTAGTAATAATAATAGTAGTAGTAGTAGTTGTTGTTGTTGTAGTAGTAGTAGTGGTAGTAGTCAAAGTAAAAGTAGAAGTAAAAAGTAGTAGTAGTAGTAGCAGTAGCAGTAGTAGCAGCAGTAGTAGTAGTAGTAGCAGTAGTAGTAGTAGTAGTAAGTAGTAGTAAGTAGTAGTAAGTAGTAGTAAGTAGTACTAAGTAGTACTAAGTAGTACTAAGTAGTACTAAGTAGTAGCAAGTAGTAGTAAGTAGTAGAAAGTAGTAGAAAGCAGTAGTAGTAAGTAAGTAGTTAGTAGCAAGTAGTAAGTAGTACGTAGTAAGTAGTAGTAAGTAGTAGTAAGTAGTAGTAAGTAGTAGTAAGTAGTAGTAAGTAGTAGTAAGTGGTAGTAAGTAGTAGTAAGTAGTAGTAAGTAGTAGTAAGTAGTAGTAAGTAGTAGTAAGTAGTAGTAGGTAGGAGTAGGTAGTAGTAGGTAGTAGGTGGTAGTAGGTAGTAGTAGGTAGTAGTAGGTAGTAGGTAGTATTAGGTAGTAGTAGGTAGTAGTAGGTAGTAGTAGGTAGTAGCAGGTAGTAGCAGGTAGTAGTAGGTAGTAGTAGGTAGTAGCAGGTAGTAGCAGGTAGTAGTAGGTAGTAGTAGGTAGTAGTAGGTAGTAGTAGGTAGTAGTAGGTAGTAGTAGGTAGTAGTAGGTAGTAGTAGGTAGTAGTAGGTAGTAGTAGGTAGTAGTAGGTAGTAGTAGGTAGTAGTAGGTAGTAGTAGGTAGTGGTAGTGGTAGTAGTAGTAGTAGTAGTGGTAGCAGTAGCAGTAGCAGTAGTAGTAGTAGTAGTGGTGGTGGTGGTGGTAGTGGTAGTAGTAGGTAGTGGTAGTAGTAGTACTAGTAGTAGTAGTAGTAGTAGTAGGTGTGGTAGTAGTAGGTAGTGGTAGTAGTAGGTGGTGGTGGTAGTAGTAGTAGTAGTAGTAGGTAGTAGGTAGTAGGTAGTAGGTAGTAGGTAGTAGGTAGTAGGTAGTAGGTAGTAGTAGTAGTAGTAGTAGTAGTAGTAGTAGTAGTAGGTAGTAGTAGAAGTAGTAGTAGAAGTAGTAGTAGAAGTAGTAGTAGGTAGTAGTAGGTAGTAGTAGGTAGTAGTTAGTTAGTTAGTTAGTTAGTTAGTTAGTTAGTTAGTTAGTTAGTTAGTTAGTTAGTTAGTTAGTTAGTTAGTTAGCTGGTTAGTTCGTTAGTTAGTTAGTTAGTTAGTTAGTTAGTTAGTTAGTTAGTTAGTTAGTTAGTTAGTTAGTTAGTTAGTTAGTTAGTTAGTTAGTTAGTTAGTAGTAGGTAGTAGTAGGTACTAGTAGGTACTAGTAGGCAGTAGGTAGTAGGTACTAGGTAGTAGGTAGTAGGTAGTAGGTACTAGTAGGCAGTAGGTACTAGGTAGTAGGTAGTAGGTAGTAGGTACTAGTAGGCAGTAGGTAGTAGGTAGTAGGTACTAGTAGGCAGTAGGTAGTAGGTACTAGGTACTAGGTAGTAGGAGTAGTAGGAGTAGAAGGAGTAGAAGGAGTAGTAGGAGTAGTAGTAGCAGTAGCAGTAGCAGTAGCAGTAGTAGTAGTAGTAGGTAGTAGTAGTAGTAGTAGTAGTAGGTAGTAGTAGTAGGTAGTAGGTAGTAGGTAGTAGGTAGTAGGTAGTAGGTAGTAGGTAGTAGGTAGTAGGTAGTAGGAGGTAGTAGGAGGTAGTAGGAGGTAGTAGGAGGTAGTAGGAGGTAGTAGGAGGTAGTAGGAGGTAGTAGGAGGTAGTAGGAGGTAGTAGGAGGTAGTAGTAGGTAGTAGTAGGTAGTAGTAGGTAGTAGTAGGTAGTAGTAGGTAGTAGTAGGTAGTAGTAGGTAGTAGTAGGTAGTAGTAGGGAGTAGTAGGTAGTAGTAGGTAGTAGTAGGTAGTAGTAGGTAGTAGTAGGTAGTAGTAGGTAGTAGTAGGTAGTAGTGGGTAGTAGTAGGTAGTAGTAGGTAGTAGTAGGTAGTAGTAGGTAGTAGTAGGTAGTAGTAGGTAGTAGTAGGTAGTAGTAGGTAGTAGTAGGTAGTAGTAGGTAGTAGTAGGTAGGTAGTAGGTAGGTAGTAGGTAGGTAGTAGGTAGGTAGTAGGTAGGTAGTAGGTAGGTAGTAGGTAGGTAGTAGGTAGGTAGTAGGTAGGTAGTAGTAGGTAGTAGTAGGTAGTAGTAGGTAGTAGTAGGTAGTAGTAGGTAGTAGTAGGTAGTAGTAGGTAGTAGTAGGTAGTAGTAGGTAGTAGTAGGTAGTAGTAGGTAGTAGTAGGTAGTAGTAGGTAGCAGTAGGTAGTAGTTAGTAGTAGGTAGTAGTAGGTAGTAGTAGGTAGTAGTAGATAGTAGTAGGTAGTAGTAGGTAGTAGTAGGTAGTAGTAGTAGTAGGACTTCCCTTAGTCACCACTTCCCGTCGTCACCACTTCCCTTCGTCACCACTTCCCCTCGTCACCACTTCCCTTCGTCACCACTTCCCTTCGTCACCGCTTCCCTAGGTCATCACTTCCCTTAGTCACCACTTCCCTTAGTCACCACTTCCCGTCGTCACCACTTCCCTTCGTCACCACTTCCCCTCGTCACCACTTCCCCTCGTCACCACTTCCCTAAGTCACCACTTCCCTTAGTCACCATCCATTGTCACCACCCTTCGTCATCTTCTTTGATGCGATGTATTGTTATGTGATGTACTGTTAGGTGATTTAAAGTCTCACATCACCCTTCGTTGATGTATTGTTATGTGTTGTACTGGTATGTGATGTAAAGTCTCACAATTCTATTTGTCCGTAACTCGGAAGTATTGCTTCCCAACTTCCTTTGATGATAACTAATTATAGCCTATAATCCCATTTATTGACTAGTAATCCCAAAATTAGAAGCTATTATAATCCCATTAGAAGCTATTATAATCCCAGCTTCTTGACTTCCTTCATTTTCTCACCCTTCTGCAAAACCTTCTCCTTGGAAGATTTGGTGATCGATTTGCTTGACTCCGGGGCGAAGACCTTGACGTAGTTGATGGACCAATACGCCTCCTGCCAAGGTTGCCGCCTGAAAAAATGGACCCCAATCCGCCACTTATATGATATTAATTATATGATATTATACGATGATATATATGAGATGTTAGATGATATGGTTATATATGATGATATACTCTGATATATGATATTATACGGTATCGCATCAAATGATATAATATCGTATTATATGAAATTATATGACATTATATTATATTGCATGATGACACATGATATTACATTGTATTGTATGGTGGTATATGATACCATATTATAGTGTATGATGATACATTATATTATATGATGATATATGCAACAAACCCAAGTTTTTTTAAATATAAACAAACTGGTAACTGATTCAACTATGGGGCACCACCTTGGATGGGTGTTGTACCCTTCGAATGGCAATTTGTGGCTTATTATAGACACATTTAGAAACCATATTTAGATGGAGATTACAAGATATTTCAATGGGAAGGATTATTTATCCCATATATTATTGAAAATAAAAAATGTTTGAAACCACCAACCAGTATTTCAATAGTGTGCCAATGAAAAAGTGGCTGGTTCATGCTGCCTGCAGCTTGTCAATGTTGGCGGGATCGGTCACGAAAGCCTCGCATGCCTTTTCGCCTCCGGGGAAGACCGAGCCGGCCCAATCGCCACAGAAGTCCAGGTTGATGACCAGCACGTGGTCATCTGGGCACGACAGTTGGGGGAATGTTATCCCTTCAACGCCTAAATGGTCCCAAATGATCCCAAATGTGCTTAAATCATATTGTGAATCCCACTGCTAAACAGGTATTTTCCGATTGAATACATTGAATGGTTGAAACATCGCCCGTTGCTGGATGAATCCCATATCAAGGCTTTAGCCTCCCGAAAAAACGGTGCATGCCAAGACCGACCAACAAATGAAGATATCATATGTACATGCATTATAGAGACCATATGTAAGCATCGGATTGTTTCAATATAAATATACTATACATAGCAATATAACTATCTATCTATCTATCTACCTATCTATCTATCTATCTATCGATCGATCGATCGATCTATCGATCTATCGATCTATCGATCTATCGATCTATCTATCTATCTATCTATCGATCTATCTATCTATCGATCTATCGATCTATCTATCTATCTAATCTATCTAATCTATCTATCTAGTCTAATCTAATCTAATCTAATCTATCTCTATCTATCTATCTATCTATCTACCTATCTCTATATATATATATATAATATACATATACGTTACGAGGGTGTCCATAAATGGGAGTACCCCCAAATCATCCATTTTTTCTTGGGATTTTCCATAAACCCTCCAGCTATTGGGGTAGCCCAGGCGCTGAAGTGTGTGGAGGGGCAGTTGGCACCGAAGGGAAAGAAGGCCCAAGGAGTCCCCCAGGTGGACGAATCTGGTTCGTCCTTTACGGGGCCAGCAGCAGCCTATGATTGAAGTTTCACTGGGTTTCATCTGGTTTCCTTATATGCCATGGTCCAATGGTTCCTGAAGTTCATGTTTTTTCCATCGGTGATGATCGCAAGTGGATCTGAGATTACGACCTAACTGCTATGATTGTCCGAGTATATAACATAACAAACCCTCCGGTAAACTAACATAGATGTGGAAAATGGCCATGTCCAGTTTGATTTACCTCTTAAAAAAGGTCATTTTGCAGTTCGCTATGCTAGTTGACCAAAGGGTTTTTTTCCCCTATGAAAGCCCACTAAACCTCCATTATTTGACGCTCCGCTAGACCAAGTCCTCTGCCAAGTCCGCAGGAATTTTGCCTCGAGGGAACATCCACCTGAGATGGAAGAAATATGATGGTTGTGGGTCGAAACCCTGGCACCCGGAAGGTACCCTACAATAGCTGGTTCTCCCAAATATGGTACGAGTAATACAGTAATAGGCTATTGATTGACCCATTCCCATATCAATCATTACTTCAAGCACCAAAAAAGGAAAACATAATGGTAATGGATTTATAATATATAAGAATCATACCAGAAGCAATAATGATACTCGCTGCGAAATCAACACCAGTTTCGATTTTATAGAAAAATATATGCACTACAATACTTCACAGGTCTATCAATATGTGGGTGTTTAGGTTGATTTACTTCAAATAGCATGCCAACAAGTCACATAATAGCTATCAATGGCATAGCATATCAATCTATACATTAGATGTTTATGTTGACATGATACCAGCATAAGAACATATGAGTAAATTGATGTAGATGGTTTATTCTGTTATAATCCCATGATTTAGTTGTAGCATTTCAAACAAAGGAATCCCAATAGGCATCCCAACTGGTGCTGGATTGAGGGGTTGGAGCACCTGCAAGGTGGACTTGTCAGCTGTAACTAGCTTTATTCATCATGCTTTATCAACTCTGTTGACTACAGTTGCTAATACAGATACAGTTAATAGTAATCACCATATAAACAATCATTAACCATTAACCTAGTTTTAAAAAATGTTACAAACAATTATTGACCTAGTTATAAACAATAGTTGCAACCTAGAACCCCCAGCAATTGGAGTTTTCTTTACCAAGCCGCATCTGGATTCCAGTGCTGGTCCACTTGGTGGCAAACACGCCACCGCCGCCTTTATTGAAAGCAGGCCCGCCGCTGTTTGGGGGTCCATTCAGTCCACAACCTGCAAGAAAACAGCTTGGAAGATCTTGGAAGCTACGCGTGCTCTGTGATTCTACAGTGGAACCACCAAGATTTTTGAAGAAATGGTGAACTATGACTATACTGTTTGAAGTCTGGAGGTCTTGGAAATCCAGGGCATGCTTGGAATCCCCTCAGCTTCCCAGCTCAGGGCTAAGCGGGACCTTACAAATAAGAAGACATGCCGATTCTCGGCGAAACAAGTCCAGTTCTGATCATCGACATGTCAGGGCAAAATTTCAAGGCGGGATTCATAAGACAGTCAAACACTGCGAGCCAACAAATTCTGCGCTGGAAGGGAGGCCGCCAAAACATTCCGCAAAGACCAAAAAAAACTTTGGGAGGGAAACACATCAAAACATATCAAAAGTCTGCAAGCAGCCATTGTGGGCATCCTCCGAATTGCAATTCGGGTTGAATATATGAGGAATATTCATGAAGCAACCATAACCTCAGTGCAGATCTTGGGCGGTGTTGTGATGCGTAGCATGTGCACTTGCCCTACCAAGGGCGAAGTTGACATCAACCAAAAAAACAACTCCAAAGTCTCCATTCACACATATACATACATATAATTTATAATATATATATAAGTATAAATATATATGATTATATATGTAATATCTATGCACCCCAAGATATGCCATCCACCGGTCAGGGTCATAGTTTGGGATGAAGTTTTGTTACCAGGCCCCTTGGCTCCTCATGGATGAGTCTCCTTAGACTTGCCATGTGGGGGCATGCCCTATTTTCAACCCCATATTAACCGCCCATGATTCATGGTGAACAAATGCTGTACCCCCCGGCTTGCCAGGACAAAGTTTGCTATGGAAATCTATGGAAAATGGACCATTTATAGATATCCATCTATCTATGTATATATATATATATGTATGTGGGTAATTTGTGTCATAGCTATGAAACATGTGAGCCATTAGTTTCAACGGTATGCATAATAAGCATGGTGATGTTCCACAGCAAACTGCTAAATGACCACAGAGCAGATGCTTATGACGATATTTTTCTGTTTACATCAACGAACAGCTACAGTACCCTTTCCAACACGTGGTGCTGTAATAACCCACTACTGAAAATTGATATTGGCAAAGCATGTGTTAATCATCTTTAACAATGCCTTCTTCATTCTTGTTTGCTTGGAAGCACACTTGATTTTCATAAGGTCAACCAAGGATGAATAGGCACAGTAGATAAAATTATATCTTGTTCTTTCTAGCCATTTGGTAGAATAACTTGCTGGTTGATGTGTTCAACGCTTTATGGACATAAACCCCAAAAGTCATCATCCGGGGTCTAACATTAATCAGTACTTCACATATTCAGCTAAGGAACTGGTATGCAAGGTTTGTTGCACGACGTCCTCTGGGCTTCAAATTGGCCCCTGAAAAAACACAATCAGCAAACATGTTTCATTGGCTTTTATCACCAAACATGGGGCTTTCCTGTAAATGGCCAACTGTACCATCATCCAATTCGGGAATGTTGCTGCAATGGATCGCAAACAGGCGGTTCCCAGTCGGATTTTTCGGTCTTGGTGAGGTTGTAATGAGAGCACGCCCAAGAGGGTTCGACTATCGCTAGGAACGGACAAATGGTAAATGACTTGTTCATCTTTGTGGGGGGTTGCCCTCTCCTTCTCTCTAACATATACATGCGTACATTGTACAAACTCGGAAATTTCGAAGCCAATTTTGGGGACAATTGCTCCAATCCTATCATGAATCTGGAAAAACTATGTAATCATGAATTTACCTGCTCAAAAGTTCGGAAAATCGAGGATATGGGGGTAAATTGCCCTTAGGCCCTTCCCATCATGTACTTCCCTGTACGTCGATCTACGGGAGTCGTCGTTATAGTTGGTCATCCCGCGGATTGTAACTGTAACTATTGTACCCTCTGGGTATTAAAGATAGCCATGGAAAATCACAATGTTTCATGGTTACAGTAAATTATATTGATTCATATTAATATGATTTAATATGCATATGAGTTTATCATCTTTACCTTTCCCATACACGGTCCGTGGCTTCCATTTAGTATATTTTCTTTGCTATCCTCCACGTTCACTGTCTCAATGATGTCGATCTCCCCATTGTTGGGCCAGTTAGGGCCATAGGACCACCAAGCAGGCCAGGTGCCACTGCCCGTGGGCATATGCTGGATATCGATGACGAAGATGTGACCTGGCACCAGATCCCTCAGCTAAGGAATTGGAGGATCCACCGGTGGGAAATGGTGGTTGAATGGTGGTTTATAACCACTACCCCCTGGTAAACTAACATAACTATGGAAAATCACCATTTTTAATGGGAAAATCAACTATAAATGGCCATTTTCAATAGCTATGTTAAATATTGTTAAATTACCAGAGGGTAACATTTTTACTGGATTGGAAGATCGAATGGAGAAAGTCAGGAATGTCATCCGGATTGCTTGGAAGATCTAATGAATACCATGGGAAAGCATTTGCTTCAGTTTACGGGGTTCCCCGTTCATGGATTGAGATATTCCCCAATTTTTATTAGTTGGTAAAATCCACCATAATCAAAAAGAAAAAGGGGGGGTTCGAACACTGCTCTGAATGGTCCAGTGTGTTCTGCAGATTTTCCTTTCAACCAACTTCTTGTGAATTGAAAGTGAACTCCTGGGAAACTTCACGCCTGGTGTTCTCCCTTGTCGGGGGGGAAGGGGCCCACAGAGTTGTTTTCTTTGGCATTGACTTACCCGCCGGGGGGCATCCGATAGAAGAAGCCTTTTCGGAAAAGTAGAGGAGCCCTTTCTGGTGAATGAGTGTGTAATTTACCACAATATATTAATAAATACATAAATCAATAAATAAATAAATAAATATATATATAATATTTTTATTTTTTGATGTTTATCAACCAACCATCAACCAACTAATGGAATACAGTATACATCCCCGATAGTAACTGGAAATCAGAAATGAGGGATTCATAACCCGTATATCAACTGAGGAATATTCCCTATATAACCGGGTTGCAGTATTGTTTTCACCTTTTCTTTACT